GTCATAATAACTGCGAATGGCTCCATAGCAAAATTAATTTTTTTTTTTCATTTTCACCCAGCCCTATAACTCACGTTCCTCAAGCCTATCTTTTTGTTCTGTCATCACAACCCTTACAACTAGCAACAAGCTGTCTGTGCATTTAGAGCTCACAGGCAAAAAATTCTATATTCACTCTCACATGTAGGGTTGGGCACAATCGTATCGTGTGCAATTAATTGTCAGAAAAACATTAATCGATTAGTTTTTGTCACTTGACGATTAATACGATTAATGCCACCAGGCAGATGGACTGGGAATTACTCCGGTCAGTCCGCTCGCTGCTCCTCTCTGCTTGAAATATGACGAACATTAAAAATAAAGTTCTGTAATTTATTTATCTATCAACACAATTTAAAATATGATGTATAGCCTGAAATCTGTAATTTTCACACAATTTGTAACAATTTTTTACAAAGAGCAAATCTTTCCCACTAAATTGGTCATGTGACTACGAAATAAGGGTGTCCAGGGACTCCAGGGGATTAATCGTCAAATTAATCGTTATCGACTAAATACCACAGTTACTTGTGATTAATTTTTTTGCCAATATTGCCCAACCCTACTCACATGGATTGAAAATTTGAAAGCTGGCAAAATTCAAAACATTCAACACTTTATTATTAAGCAGTTGTGACATTTTAGGCGCTGTAATGTGTTATATTCTGTCAAAACAGACACCATAGTACAACCCTCTGCACACACACAAAAGGACAGTTTGTAAATGTGGGCAAACACTAGCAGCAGCAGCTCTGGGGTCTTTGCATTGTGCTTGCACATTAGACCTGGGCTTTGCTCCAGAGACAGCACTGTGCCACACAGCTCGTCTAGCACACACTGACAGACACACACACACACACACACCTCTCTACAGTCTACACTGAACCGTTTATTAAGTACACTTTCACACAGTCTCACTGACGCACGCACCTGACCTCTGTTTGTAACCTGAGCGATGTCGAGCCCGTCTGTGAGCAGTGGCAAACAGAGCTTAACAGCAGACTGCCCCTGGGAGCATATTTCTGCCTTTGTTAAGTGTGTTTATCCTTCCCCCTGTCTCCCATCACTCCCTCCTTTCACTTCTACCTTACCTCCTCCTCTGACAGAAAGAGATGTCAGGTGAAGGTCTCCTCTCTGATTTCCCATTCTTTCTTTCTCCTACTGTCAGGGGACAGAATGAGCAAACAGGGACAAGTTTGGCGGGACAGAATTTGTCAGAGGCAGGGAGTCAGTGAAAGACAAAATCTGTGGAGATGGGAGTAAAATTTTTCTAATAAGAAAAAAAAAAAAACCTGCTGGATCAAGTAGCCTATGGTATTAGCTGGCTGACCTGTGAGGTCAGTTTAGAGTTTGGGCTTGGGGCAATGTGACCTGCTGGCTGTTTAAAACAGAAGCAGGATGAAAATCTCTGAGGAAAGATGATTTCATAACAGCAAGAATATGGCTGCTTTGCAAACATCGACAAAGTCCTGTTTACTGTAGAGCTCTGCTCGGCTGGGAAGAGGCGTGTACAACTTCTGTCAAGAGTTCTTAAAGGGGACTTATCATGCAAAATCCACCTTTCTTTAGCCAATAAATGTATTTTGTTGGAGTAAGAGTGCAGAAAAGTTTAATTTAGCCTCTCACAGTGCTGTGTAGATATCTTTATATTTTCTCTGGCTCCAACATGTAAGGCTGGATGGACAAGTCTTACCTTGTTGACACATTTTAATTAATTTGTAAATAAAAGCATTCTGAGCTGCTGTATAGTCATAAACCCTTTTATCAAATTAGAATGAACCGGTCTGGAAGCTGGAGGGGGCGGAGTGTGAAGCGCCTCGTTTGGATTTGAAGACACAGCATCAAAACGAGTTGATGCGAGACACAGCTCAGAAAAGAGGTGAAAGAGGGGCTTGTGGAGTTACAATGAAGACCAAAGTATTCCAGTTCCACTTTGTATAGATCCCAACTAAATGATTTAAATGTGAAAAAGAAAGATTTAGAAGCATGATGTGTCTTTATTAACGCAAAGAATTCAACACCAGCTGACTGAAAGGATTAAAGTTCAGATGCCGTTAAATATCATGAAAGTGTTGAAGAGGCTGGTCTCGGACAATCTCAGGGGGCAGATGAAGACGCTACTAGGCCATTTTGGGAGTTGATAAAACTATCATTTACCTGCTGCAGCAAGCTTATTTGCACTCAGATGTGGGGTAACTATATCACTATTTCTTTGATTTCTCTAGAGCTTTTGACACCATTCAACCAGTGTCCTCATCTTTGCAGGAGTTTGTTGGGGCAACAGCAATGGAACCAGTGGAACCAACAAGCTCAATAAGCTCATAATGAAAGCAGACTGCACACAAAACACTTATGAGGCTGTAATGGAGAGGAGGATAATGGACAAACTGTTGTCCATCTTGGCCACCCTCTCCACCACACTTTGGAAAAAAAAAAACAGCAGAGCAGCTTTTCAAACAGGCTGATACAGCTCCACTGTCGCACTGACTGGTTTAGGAAGCCCTACCTGCCCCAGACTGTTCACTTTTATTTTCCTACTTTTTCTCTTTTCATTATCTATTCATGTTCTATTTATTTTCCTTTGTCTACATTTTTATGTTTAGGTAATACACCTTTGTTTTGTATAATATTACTCTAATTTATGACATTTTGGTGATTTTTCAGTTTGCTCAAAAGATGCTGTAACACCAGAACTTCTCAGCCTTTAGGATGCATCATGTCAGTCAGTCTATCTGTACTGGAGTTGATAAAACCATTCAGTGCCTGCCGACAGCTCAAATATCTCTGAGAGTGCACAATTAAAGCTCCAGCAACAAACTGCAGTAACGGATTTATTTTGTTTTGTTTAAATGAAGCCTAACATGTACGGCACTGTGCTAAGAAAGCACCAGAAGTTCAGCTAAAAGATCCTTGGCTTAAAGATCTGAGGAATCAAGTCAACCCATCAACCTTCTGGTCAGTCTTGACTGATGAACCCACATACCCACAGCCACACGCTTGGTTTCCAACAACTGGCAGCACTCCACACAGAGAACTGTCAGCTAATGACCCAAACCCACTTAAACTGGAGGAGTGATGAAGCTAAACCTCTGAAAGGTACATTTTCTAGTTGGAGGAAAGAGAAAATCTGATAGAACTATAAAATTAAAACAGAGTGATGGATTACTGAAAGTTGAACAAATTGGTTGAATTAGGTTCTTCAGAAAAGGTTAGCTTGAAGCACCTGGTAGTTAATATTTGCTTAAGTGTTTCAACATCTTTCATCTTAACTTTAGCTCTTGTTCAATTTCAAATATTAAAAAAAAAAAAAACTAAATGAATAAACGTTTCATGCCCACAGACTGAAGCTTGTGGCTTGTGGCAACTCCTGCTTTTTGTATCGTTGCAGCTGTAAACTTTCATCATCATTCTTTTATATAAATGAAGCAACTCTTAAAAACAGCGAGACAAAGACCAAGCTTCATTTCAGCTGGATATGATTAATTAAGATTTACTGATCAACATAATTCCAGTGCTGCATTTAAGCCTGTAAGAGGTTATAATGTGCATGCACAGGTGTGGCTTTACCTTATAAGATTCTGTGACAGATTCAAACCACATTCCCACATCTATCAGTGAGGGGAGGCTTTGGTGGTGGGAAGTGGGAACGCCACACCTGTGTGAAAGGTTTGGGATTGACTTGCCTTATAGGGTTTACAAGGCCAGGCAGGTTTAGGGATTTTTTGGCTTGGTATGGAGACAGATAGTGTGTCTGTGTTACTTCACTTTTCCCCCTATGGCTTCCATCACAAATTACCTTGGTGCTAATTGAACGAAGAAAATAAAATTCTAATTGGTTTATTATTGTTATGATTTCTTCGTGTCACAAAGCACCAAAAGCAAAAAAAAAAAAAAAAAAACCTACAACTTTTATTTCTGAGTAATGTTAATGTCAAGCTCAAACTGAGAGCAGAGAAACACTAATGTTTGGACTCAAACAGCACAAGTCTATCTCAGACACACATAACTAACAACATGGAATCACAACATTCATTTCATAAATTATATGTTCGAAACTGGTTTCATGATATGTGCAAACTCAACATTCTTGGAAACTAGGATTAACTAACAAAATTACAACAAAAACAAATAAGCGTTTTTTTCAAGGGCTTCTAAATTTAACAACAACAAAAACCGACCGGACCGAGTTTTTAAACACCTTAACCAAAAACACCTGAGGTGGCTCAAGATTCTGAGATCGTGTTTTCCTATCTGAAGTTTCTCAAGACATTTAACCCAGATCAAATATGCCCTCTGGTAAAAACAATGATGTGATTATAACTCATGCTCTGTCACAGAACAAGACCAACATCCTGATGATGAGGCTGATCTTTAAGATCCTGCAAAACCCTGCAAACTAKCAGAAAAATATGCACAACTAGAGGCTAAATACAATTTAAACATCTACTTTTGCAGTAATATCCATTACAAACACTTGCTAAAGATACATTTAGATACAGCTGCAATGCATGCAGTTTATTTATAAGCACAACTCATTTTAATGAAATGTATAATTCAGCGTGACTGAAGCTAATATATGAAGAACAGCCAGAAGCCTGAGAGAAAGAAAACCCCTCTTCTATCAGCTGTTTGTTTGTTGACATACAAGCTATTTGAACATCGCTGAGCTGGCAGCAAGACGCAGTAACTGAACTCAGCCTGAAGTGTCAATCCAGATTGTTGAAGCACCACTGCCATCTCCTGACGACAGATAAGATTCCCTTTGGAGGAGTTTTAAAAAAACATGCTTTGAACTGAGAGATCACGCCTGAATGCACTAAAAACAAGTTAGTTATACTTATAGGATGGTCCTGTTGCTACTTCAAATGGAATTACTTAAAAGTTTTAAATTGACAATTTACATTTTGTAACATTTAACTGCATAATTTGAGTTCTGCTGTGAAAGTGTTTCAGTGTCTTACTGAGATCTTCAGCCAGCTGGACTCTGCGGCCCGTGATGAGCTGGGTCTTTTTCTCCATGTCTTCRCCAAAATCATCTAAAACCTCTTTCACATTTTTCTCCAACCGCCGCACTGAAAAAAAATGAAAGAACGAAGATCAAGACATTTTACCGTTATTAGAGTGGATGAGAGATGAGCCATTTATTATCATTATGTTGTTTTTTTTTACAATGGGCATTATTCTAGGATCAAGGATCAATTTTATCACTAAATACAACTGTTATCTTAAAGTTTGGGCCAGAAAAAAAAAAGATTCTGACGCAATCACACTACCTTTAACTGATGAGCCTGGTGTTAGTTGGCTGTGCAACAGTATCCGAACTTTGTTAATTTAAATGTGAGAAAAAGTATGTGTCCCAATAAATTATACACAATAGGTGATAAAAATTAAAGTAAATTTGTAAGAACAGAGTGCAAAAAAAACATCAAGCCAATTAAACTGTTCATAATAACATGCTGTGGATATACTGTTGTATATCAAACACTCTTTCTTTTCTTACCACCAGTTTACACTGCGTCCGCTCTACTTRGACCTCAGCAGTAAAAACGCACCCGTTTAAATCAATGAGAGCATTTATACTGCCTCAGCAGAGGGCGGCATAGCCATCCGTCAAAATTACATTTGATCCTATTTTTACCTAACGGCAGAACAAGTCAATCTACAAAGATTACACCGCACCAACAGGAAAAGAGCCCAACATATGTTAGTTCAAAAAAAAAAACAACCACCAACTACATTTTGTCAAAATTGTAGCTATGTAAATAAATATATTGGTAGTTTTTTACATACATGCTGTCAAATGTATCATTCTGTTTGGGAAGCAGGTTGTAACATGCAGCATATGCAAACACACAAAATGTGTGAGTTTTATTTTGAAATATGGATTAAAAAAGACAACAGTGATGCAGTTTCAGCTGCTGTTTCGTGTCCATCTTCCACAGAATGAATTAATTTAGTCAGACTTCCACATTTAACACTAGCTTTGTTGCAGGATCTCAAATTTCCTGTGCATAKTGTTCATAGCTCCTCTGCTCTGCACCGGAGCAGACGCAGTGTAAATTGGGAATGGAAACAAATGCGCGGTGCAGCGGACCTGAACAGAGCTGCACGCAGTGTAAATCTGGGGTTAGGTTAAAAAAACTCTGCTGTTGCAGGTCAARAACACACTTCCTTACCCTCGGTGTTGGTGAGCTGCTGTCGAAGAGTGTTGGCTGTGATGACCAGCATCCTCTGTATCCTCCAAAACAGAACCACATCGTTGCACTCCAGCTGGAGGAAACACGCAGGAAAGTGAGACATTTAATACAAGGGTGACAAGGTTAAAACATGGCAGCAGCTTTAGGGTTCTACTCACCTCAGCATCAACAAAGTGTCTTTGGTAGTAGTAGAAGCCTCTCTTGCAGAGGTTGCAATGAGACAGTGCTTTCTGCAAGAAGTGTCGGCGATACAGCTGATGCCACGTGTCCTTGATCTGTCAAGGTTTGCAGAGTTTTTGCAGTAAATGGACAAAAATTATAAGTGTGCCTTTTAATCAAAGGCTTAAACCTTGTTAAACGTATCTGGGCTTTAGCTCTCACCAGCACTGGGTCCACTTCTACCCCTCGTCCCTCCAGGTTCTTCCTAACTGTGGTGACCTCATCATTGGCCAAGTAAGCGGTGTGGTCATCGTGCAGCTTCAGCAAGCGGTCCAGCTCATTTTTTGTTTCGTTCCGGATGTGCTACAAGACCAAGGAACAGCAAGAGGACAACGATATCATGGTGGAAAGGTGGCATTAGATGTTCTACAGAGAATTACTCAATCTATTCTGTGCTTTGACTTGTAAACAAAAGGTGTCGAAGCTGATGTTGTATTACACCACTTTTATGACTTTTCCACTTTATAGCCTCTGAGTGGCTTGTAAAATCACAACACAATAATGACCATGACTTCTAGTAATAATAATAATAATAATAAAACAAGCTTGTGGTTCTGACCTGGTCTGGTGTACGGTTCTGCCAGTTTAGCCACCTCTGTTTCCAGTCGGGGCCCACCATGTCTTTGATCACAGATTCAGCTGGAGGAGGAGCAGGGAATTAAATACAAAGACGTTGTGAAATAAAACAAAATGAGAAACTAAAACATTTCATGAACATGTTGCAATAAGTCATACAGCGATAATACTGTTAAATCTAAGCTTCCTAAAATCCTGTTTCTACTGAATCACAAAAAAAAAAATACATTCAGTACCAGGCTGCTTTTGTAGGAAATGAAACAGTTTGCTCAACTCCCAGATCTAATTACTTTGCAGTACTTGAGTGCATTTATCGGGTTTRGTTGGACGCCAATTCTTCCTGATTCAGGAGAGGTCAGGGGTGTTCCTGCAAGCCARGTTTTATATTTTCATTGCAGCATTTTGATGATAATGATTCATCTTCTAACAATAGTAAACAACAATGCTGACCAGGTGTAACTATGCTTGAAAAAAGTAAAAAAGGGAAAGCTAGTTGTGCAAAGCTCTGACAGCATTTTGCAAATAAACTAATCATGTAATAGAGCAGTGCTCATTGTGGATTATTTTCAAAACATGTTCAACCTGTTTTTCACAAATAAACTGTTAATTTGTCCACTTGTTTTAAGGTAAGATCTCACTAACTCTATTTATTGATAAAAGTAGAATAAGTAAATTTYGTAAGAACCACGAATGACTGACCAATGTATTTAACTTGGATATTTAAAATAACCCTTGAAATGTTGCTACAGGTAATTACAGTGAACATACTGTCTTTGAGACGTGACTGTAAAGTTTCCTCCATAAACTGGATCGCTGCATCCCACTGAGGCTTGTCTGTGATGGAACGGTCTTCTAAGGCATTGTGCTGGATCACCCTCTGGTAAAAAAATAATAATTGCTTTAAATTTAAGTTGAAATCCTTTCATTGCTTTGAAGAAGAGTTTTTTTTTGTTTGTTTGTTTGTTTACCAGGCTATCTAAGGCCCTCTCGTTCCACTTGTGCCTCTTGATGCTCTCATCCTTCACAGCCTCCTTCAGCTTGTCAAAGATGTCGTCCTGGTCTTTGCCTCTGTATTCAGCCATAAAGCGAGCAAACTCCTCCTGCAGTGTCTCCCACGCAACCTTATGTAAAACATAGAAAAGTACAAAGGAGGGATAATACTTAACGTATATAATAAWACAATAAGGAAAATTCTGATTTGACAACTTTCATCAAGTTCTGAAATGTTTGTGTCAAGTGAGTCTGAAAAAAAAWATATCTGTTGCACTTTTGTACAATTAACCACAACATTTAGAAAAGTTCTTTAAACAGATACATCACCAAAACCTCAAGAAACAATAAAAACATTCATTTAATTCAATTTTAAATATGTTAAGAAGTAGAATAGTATGTATTGTCATAAAACATAAAAATATATTACCTTTGAAGATCCAATCAAGTTTTGTTAAGAGGCAGAGTTACTACAATTTAAAAGGGACAGAGGTGTTTGTGAAACCTAAAATCRGAACTAGTTTGAAGGAAAGGTGTAGTTCAGTGCAAGGAATAAAACTGTGGAATAATCTGGAGAATGATATCAGAAGTGCAGGATCAATGTATAAGTTTAGGAGAATGGTAAAATCCAGTCTGTTGAAGAAATAGGAAATGACATAATATGTATCCTTAAAAATTGTCTGAGAAAGATTTGATTTTTATTATTTTTTCCTGTTTTTTATTATTAGTTTGAATTTCTTTTGATGGAAAAAGGCACAGATATTAAAAGGTTTTTTCTTCCTTCTGCTGCCTTTCATTTTATTTTATTAGTCATTTCTATTTTTTGTATATTGAATTTGCTTTCTTTTTAAATGAAATGAATGAATAAAACTAAAACTGTTGTTCAAATAAGATGGGAAGGAACTTATATTGTTCTCATTTTTATTTGCAAATATTACAAATGTTCAAGTTTGAGTTTGTGAACTATTGGATTATTATTGTTTGAATTTATTTTTGAAAAAAAAAAGGGGGCATAAGTTTTTTTTTCTCTTCCCTCTGTTCCCTTTAAATTTATGACCTTTGTTTTGTTTTTTATTGTATAGAGATTCTTTTTGTTTTAATGAATGAATAAACTTGAACTTACATTTTTAATTTAGAACTTTAACTGTGTAAAAAAATACACATATATATATATTTTTTTACCTCCAGTGCTTTGTGTGGGAGCTGCTTGTCAGTCCACTGCTTGAGCTTGATGTCTACAGTGGTGTTAAAGGTACCAGAGTCCATTGTTTGGGCAGCAGGCAGGTAGATGTTCTCAATGACATGTGTGGACACGCGCTCCCACAACTTCTTCTGCAGAATAGCTTCCCTGTGGGCAGAAAAAAATAATAATTTATGACTCTGGAACAGGAAGAAAAAAAACCTGTTTATTTATAATGTAACATGTTGTTCAAATCTTAGTTTACTTTATTCCAATCATCCTAAAGATCTGAACAGTCACTTTTAGATTATGTTTGGTTGAATGAACCTCAAAAAAACAAGAACATTCAGAACAAAGATGATTTTTGGCGTACAGCAGGGCTCTGTAAAAGGACCCACTGGGGCATAAACGGCTGTCTTCTGCTTTTGACAGTAAATTCCTACATAGCTCTGTTATAACCCTGTTAGTGATGAAGAGCGTCTCCACCCTCATTACTTCACCCCACGGCAGCATGACTCTGGAACAAAACCCTAAGTCCCGAGTCTAGAGTCCCCTTTCACCAGAGCAGAGTTGTCCCTTTCTCATTTATCATAAACGCTTGCTCATATTTCATTCAGCTCCCCTTTTGTTTAAGTTAGCTCTCCTCGCTGTCGATAAATGCTTTCTCCAATTGTGCTGCCTGGCTAACAGGGCCACCCTCGCTCGTGTCCGTGAGCCATTCATCAGATTATTGATCAGGGAGAAGTGAAGGCACGCACACAGGGGACGGCTACAACACAATGCATACATCTCATTTAAGCAAGGTTTTCCTCCGTGTGGACAAGTTACCACAGACAAATGCAGAGAGAGAAAAACCAGCCGTGTATTTTAAAAGAAATAAACACATGAAAACTGATACTAGAAAAGAATCTGTTGAGTTTACAACTTTAGATTTCGCCTCATTAAATCCTTGAATTAATTTTTTATAAACTCACCAGTGCTGTGGGGTCACCTGACTCAAACTGATGACCTCATCCAAGATTTCGTTTTTTGCCTTTTCAAAGAGCTCATTCTGCAAAAAAAGTCAAAACATGTTTAATATTTTTATCACTGAAACAGTTAAAGCTTTTGAAAACAGCAAAACTGAACAAACTCTTGTTTAAAATAAAAAGTATGTATTAATTAAAACTAGGGACGTAACAATTAGTCGAGAATCAATTAATAATCAATTATAACTGCTTAACATGTGAATCAATTCATAAAAATGAATGAATCGATTTCATGTCTTTAGGACAAATTCAGTTTGATAACTTTTGGTTACAAACGGATTTGTGATGACATTTTTATTTATTTTGAAGTTATAATCTGTTATTAAGACAACAGACAGTTATAGTTTAATAAAAGGGCAAAATTTGGTAATAAAATGGCCACAATACACTTTGTTGAAAAAAGAACATAACCATAATCATGAAATTAAAATTGATCATTGAATCAGTGCTCGAGTGAACTGTTACATCCCTAATTAAAACTGATCCAATAATGAACCATCAACTTGATTTTTAAATAATAATTAGCACAGACTGTGGTCTTACTCTGTCCAGCTCTCGCAGACGAGGATAGTTGTTCTTCCATTCAGTCTCCAGGTTGAACCGCGATGCTAAGAGAACAAAAAAAAATAATACTTTAATCAAAACATTTTTAACCAACTTCAATCCTGCATTTAATAACTAAGAAAATGTATAAATGTACAAGTGATAATGTCAGGCAGCATAAAACTTTACTCAGTCCTCGTATAATTTGAGCTGATCATGTTCCATTTGTTCGGTCTCTGACTCACTGGACTAAACTTTACGATGTTTTACTGCGTTCAGCTGCATGCCTCCATAATCACAGGCAATGACCACAGACACACAGCCTGCCTTAGTTTCACTTCCCATGATATAAAAACCACTTTAAGATTGCTAACGGTGCCCATCCTTTAATAATAAAAAAAAGTGGGGGGGCTGAGGACACTTTGCACGCTCACTCTCTTAACTGGTCCTTCGGGAGGTGAAGCAATGGGGCCAGTGGCACACTCTTTATCAAAACTGGGAGTTTTAGCTCTCACATACACACAGAGACGGACACACAGACACACAAGCACAGCGTGCTCGCTGCCACCCCCCCCCCCCCCCCCCCCCCACACCCACACCACACACACACACACTTTTTTTTTTCCTTCAGGTCCCTATCCACAGAGCAGATTAGTCTAATTGCAGGTTTGTGGCGCCAAGAATGGAGGATGAAAGCCGGCTGCGTGTGGTTTGATGGGATATGGATCAATACGCAACACAATAGACCTATGGGAACTGCAGTCTCACAGCTATAAATCTCCTCTGTTGTTAGCAGTGGCTTCTGATTGTCTAGACTAATTGAAGAGGGCAGTAAGGAGGGGTTAGAGAAGTGTGGCCTAGTGGGCTGAGGGAGAACACTGTAGTCAAGCTGTACTGGACTCACTGTAGTGGTCACTAGTAGCAGAGTTGCACTTTGTTTAATTTACAGTTAACAGATGAATTCAATGTCTTATAACTTTATAAAATATGTATGATAATGCCAGGTGATGATTTATTAAACGACAACAACAAAAAAAGAGAACTGATGGGTGTTTTGTGGCCTGAAATTCAGTAAAGTCAAACCTTTAAAAACATCAGCTTGCTGCTCTACGGACTCTCGGACCATCTTCCAGAAGCAGTCAGAGACGGCCAGACTCAAGTTTTTCGTGGTCACCTGATGAGCCTTCAGCATCCCGTCCCTGCTGACACGCATTAAATATTATCAACAATGGAGAGTTTCACTTGAGCCGTCACTGAMATCAGGTGAATCGACTACTTGCCTTAGTAATCTGGAGCCCTGGAAAAATTCCTCCTCGTAATCTTTAATAGAGTCTATGCTTTCACCGCTGCTCCCTTTAAATCAGGACATGTTGAGTATTTAAAACACAGTGATAAATAATGAAAAAATACATTTAAAATGTGGAGTTGCTGAAGACTATTGGTTACCTTTTCCTGTCACTACTGCAAAATAGCCCAGGGCCTTCATCGGAAAAAGCTTTCCTTCAATAATTTGCTGGATCTGAAAAAACAAACAAACAAAAAAAGAGACAAATAAAGCTGAATTTTAATGCTGCATTTGTAAAAATGTCTTTATATGGAGGCGTTCTCAAATCATGGGATGGAGCTCCCTCTTGTGGAAAAACTGGAAATACACTTTTACGTAAATAAACGCTCTGTCATCTTCCTCACCAAGGGTAATATTTAATAGTACAAGAGTACTATTAAATCCAAACAAATAAGTCAACACTAAACATACTGTTTCACACTTTTTAAATATTTATTGGAAGAGTTCAGCTTTCTTACTCTACTCGGGCTGGCCAGGTTTTTCTCAGCCAAGTCCACTTTGGTCAGAACAAAAATGGTCCTCTTCCCCTGAGGGTCCATCTGACTAACCAAGTCTGTAACGATGCTCCGCTCTGCATCCACACTGCCATCTGGATAAAGAAAAAAAAAAGAAAAAAATGTCAATGTGGATTTGAAAACGAAGGACCGTCTCAAAAATGCAGTTTTTTTTTCACAAATACCCTTCCAGCTTATTACACCACCACGTCTCTTTACAGATAAGGGTAGTAAAATCGATGCACACAACTCACCCTGAATACAAAGAATGATGGCATTGGGGTTCTGCATGTAGGCCTTGCTCATACTGAAGATGGTTTCCTTTGTGTCTGAAGCCATGCCTGTAGTCACCGTCTATGAAAGAGTCACAACAAATGTACATTTTTTTTCATTCATACTTTTACATTGGAAGAAAAGTGAGGAAATAATTTAATTAATTTAAAACACAAAAAATATTTTTTGACTAAGACATTGAGCTAAACCTGCAAATATTCCTAATTTTACTGGGAATAAGTTATTAGTTACAATTATTAGTTTAATAATTATACTCACACTGATGACACCAGGTAAGTCAACTAGTACCATCCTCTGGATGCCCGGCCCTTTAACACTCAAGGATATCGTCTATCATAAAAAATTAACATTTTTCATGAAATATTACAGAAATAAATCAGCAACAATTTCATTAGTGATTTGAACAGAACAATGTCCAACCTCAGAGCTGACGGTCTGCCCCTCCTTCACATTCTTCCTCATCCTCAGCTCAATCTCATGCCTCAGAGCAGCCAACTGCAAAAACATCAGAAGAATAAAAGGTGTGAAAATAAAACAAGCTAAAAAGTGGAGCTCAAGTCAAATGAAAGGAAGCGTGTGTAACTTACATCCTCCTCCTTGGTGAGGTCAAACTCTCGGCCGCTGTCTTTAAACATGGCTACATGATGGGGGCCTTCACTGAGTGTCACCTGCAGGACAAATACAGAACGAAACATCAAGTTACCCTCGCTCAGTCTCATTAATCCAGAGCTACAAACGTGACCTTAGCCTCTCAGACGCCTCTCACCTTGACAGGAGAGCGTGTCATCATTTCACCTGAGCCCCTGGGAAAGATCCTGGCCTGGGCAATCATCTCTAACACGCTGGTTTTCCCAGCGCTCTGATCTCCGACCACAACTACCTGAAACATAAGTGAGGAAGCAGGTTTGATGCTGGAGAAATAACAAAACAGATGTTTAACTAAAGAATTTCCATTTTCTGTGATAATGCAGTGAATGCTTCTTGCTGAAAGATTTCTGCTGAGGAAACAACGTTAATAAAAAAACTGTTATTGTGAGTTAAATCTGAAAAGCTGATGTTTGCTTAAAGTAGAAAATAAAGTAAAAATAAAAAAACAAAAATGTGTTGAAAAAGTTGAATAGAGCAGAAATGTAGCTGAAACAAGTTACATTTAGCAGAAGGTAAAAGCACAGTAAAAAAAGCTTACATTATCAGAAAACAAGAAAATAAGCACAAACAGTTGCAATTTGTGAAACAAGTTGAAATGAGGTGAAAATAGCTCAAAAATAGATGAAAAGCTAAAAATTAGCGCAAAAAGCAGAAAAAGCATATGCTTGCAGAATTGAATGGTAAGAAGCTGAAATTATAGTAAAAAGGTGTAGTTAGAAAAAAACTCAAATTAGCTAAAACAGCTAAAAAGTAGCTTAAAAGAGAAAACTGCTTAAATTAGCATAAAAAGGCAGAAAGAAGCACTAAAATGTTTAAATTAGCATACAAAGAGCAGAAATTGGCAGAAAGATAGCTAATCAAAATAATAAAATAAAAAATAAATAAAAAGATAGGAACAAAAAAATAAAAAAAAGAAGCTGAAGGCTAAAATCAGCACAAAAAAGCCAAACCAGAGAAAAAGGTAAAAAGCAAACTAAAGTTTTATAAACCTTTTTATGGTTTTTAGGATGTTGAAGACATATCCATTCATTGTCAATGAGAAAACGTGGCCAAAAAAAACTAAATAGCCGAAAAAGTAAATGCTGAAATACCTAAATAATTTGGTAATTCTGCACCCATGGCATTAATGAGCTGAATGTTTTAATACATGAAATAAAACAGCACAAACATTGTGGAATGAGTTACGTGTCAAAAAACGTGCAGAAGAAAAATGAATCATCTCAATAATGTGAATGACTGATAAGCCTTCAGACAATTAGAGGATCAAAGATGACAGTAAGAAATGGCTATTGAGTCTAAGTAATATCAGATTACTTATACATTAGAATTTTATTTTTATTATTATGCAGGTTTTGCAACAAAATACTGGCAGTCCTGTAGTTTTTAAACTCAAAAGCCTTAACTGACAGAAATCAATTTTTAATGAACAAGAGTCCCTGCTTACCCTGGGCAGGTGGTCCTGGGTGTTGTAGTTAGCATCATAGTCGGATAAAACGTCGAGGACTTCAGAATACAAGTCAATAAGAGATTTCTGCACAATGTCACACAACAATAATAAATATCAATAAACATAAAAAATGCAGCGTTACTTTAAAGAATCAAAATTTGTGCCTCAAAATTATYTTAATAATTTTTAAATAAAATGTAAATATTGATTTTGCTTTATTCAAGTCACCTTCACTTTCCTTTGATGAATCCCCTTATCGTCTTTTTGCAGCACCACTTTCCTCAACTCTTTATTTTCCTTCTCCAGCCTCTCCAGCATGCGTTGGTACTTCAGCTAAACAATACATAATGTCCGGTTAGGATCGGACCACACTTTTTTCATGATGAAACACAAACATATTAATCCTGAACCTAAATTATTTTTCCTTTAACCTAAGAGATAATCATCTTTACCTGAGTGCGAAGCAGCTCCTCTTGAAGTTGGTCGACCTTTTCTCGGTCCGATGACTGAAAGTCACAGGAGACACAAAGACAACAAACATCGACTGGGTTAGAGCCACTGTTTTGTTTTAAATTTACACGACTCCTGTTTTACTTCCAAATGTTAAACTCCCACCAACACCACAGAGATTGGATGCAAGCGAACTGCATCACGGAGAGAATCAGAGTAGAAGTTAATGCATGAAGACAAGATCAACCATTTCAWGCAGAGACAGTTCTCATCACTTTGCTTCAATCCCAAAGATTCACCAACGGCTACAAATCAAACAGTGAACTCTGTAAAACAGAATGATTTGAAGCACAAATCACTTTTGTTAAACAGCTTGATTATGAATCTTTTGACATTTGATTTTAAGCATTTTACACAATCAGCCCATGTTTCAGGATGAGGCAGGACAGAAAACAGGAAACACAGAACAGACAAAAGAAAACAAATCAGAAACTACTTTATCAAAATAAATCTTTCACCAGGAATTATGATAAGAACTTTGCTTTAAATTACTTTTGAACAATATTAACAGCGTAATAGTTTGTATTTATTTTTGTTAAAGGAACAGTGTGTAGGATTTTGTCTATTCTTTTTGCCGAAATTGAGATAATCACTAATGACAATAATAAAAAAACATGTCTAATCATTGCAGACAAAGACCTTGTTTTATTATTTTTACCTTATAAAAAGCTGTTTATATCTCCATGGTCGCGGGTCTATGGAGGACCAAACCTATCATTATTGGAAATAAATGTATAAATATATAACTGGCGTAATAAAATAAATTATAG